ATGCAGCCCACTGTGATGCAGACCACTGTGATGCAGACCACTGTAATGCAGACCACTGTGATGCAGCCCACTGTGATGCAGATCACTGTGATGCAGACCACTGTGATGCAGACCACTGTGATGCAGACACTGTAATGGCAGACCACTGTATGCAGACCACTGTGATGCAGCCCACTGTGATGCAGATCACTGTGATGCAGATCACTGTGATGCAGACCACTGTAATGCAGACCACTGTGATGCAGACCACTGTGATGCAGACCAATGTGATGAAGACCACTGTGATGCAGACTACTGTGATGCAGACCACTGTGATGCAGATCACTGTGATGCAGATCACTGTGATGCGGATCACTGTGATGCAGACCACTGTGATGCAGATCACTGTGATGCAGACCACTGTGATGCAGACCACTGTGATGCAGCCCACTGTGATGGCAGCCACGGGTGATGCAGATCACTGTGATGCAGACCACTGTGATGCAGACCACTTTGATGCAGACCACTGTAAAGCAGACCACTGTAATGCAGACCACTGTGATGCAGACCACTGTAATGCAGACCACTGTGATGCAGACCACTGTGATGCAGACCAATGTGATGAAGACCACTGTGATGCAGACTACTGTGATGCAGACCACTGTGATGCAGATCACTGTGATGCAGATCACTGTGATGCAGACCACTGTAATGCAGACCACTGTGATGCAGACCACTGTGATGCAGACCACTGTGATGCAGATCACTGTGATGCAGATCACTGTGATGCAGACCACTGTAATGCAGACCACTGTGATGCAGACCACTGTGATGCAGACCAATGTGATGAAGACCACTGTGATGCAGACTACTGTGATGCAGACCACTGTGATGCAGATCACTGTGATGCAGATCACTGTGATGCGGATCACTGTGATGCAGACCACTGTGATGCAGATCACTGTGATGCAGACCACTGTGATGCAGACCACTGTGATGCAGACCACTGTGATGCAGACCACTGTGATGCAGACCACTGTGATGCAGATCACTGTGATGCAGACACTGTGATTGCAGACCACTGTGATGCAGACCACTGTAATGCAGATCACTGTGATGCAGATCACTGTGGGGATGCAGACCACTGTATGCAAGACCACTGTGATGCAGACCACTGTGATGCAGACCACTGTGATGAAGACCACTGTGATGCAGACACTGTGATGCAAAACCACTGTGATGCAGATCACTGTGATGCGGATCACTGTGATGCAGACCACTGTGATGCAGACCACTGTGATGCAGACCACTGTGATGCAGACCACTGTGATGCGACACTGTGATGCAGACCACTGTGAGGGCAGACCACTGTGATGCAGACACTGTGATGCAGACACTGTGATGCAGTCACTGTGATGCAGACCACTGTGATGCAGACCACTGTGATGCAGATCACTGTGATGCAGATCACTGTGATGCAGATCACTGTGATGCAGATCACTGTGATGCAGATCACTGTGATGCAGATCACTGTGATGCAGATCACTGTGATGCAGATCACTGTGATGCAGATCACTGTGATGCAGACCAAACTGTGATGCAGATCACTGTGATGCAGATCACTGTGATGCAGATCACTGTGATGCAGACCACTGTGATGCAGATCACTGTAAAAGCAGATCATTTGTGATGCAGATCACTGTGATGCAGATCACTTGATGCAGACCACTGTGATGCAGATCACTGTGATGCAGATCATTTGTGATGCAGATCACTGTGATGCAGACCACTGTGATGCGGATCACTGTGATGCAGATTCACTGTGATGCAGATCACTGTGAGGGCAGACCCCCTGTGATGCAGATCACTGTGATGCAGATCACTGTGATGCAGACCACTGTGATGCGGATCACTGTGATGCAGATCACTGTGATGCAGATCACTGTGATGCAGATCACTGTGATGCAGATCACGGGTGATGCAGATCACTGTGAAGCAGACCACTGTGATGCAGATCACTGTGATGCAGATCACTGTGTTTGAAAGATCCACTGTGTGCAGACCACTGTGATGCAGATCACTGTGATGCAGATCCCTGTGATGCAGATCACTGTGATGCAGATCACTGTGATGCAGACCACTGTGATGCAGATCACTGGATGCAGATCACTGTGAGCAGATCACTGTGATGCAGACCACTGTGATGCGGATCACGTGATGCAGATCACTGTGATGCAGATTCACTGTGATGCAGACCACTGTGATGCAGATCACTGTGAGCAGATCACTGTGAGCAGATCACTGTGATGGCAGATAAACTGTGAGCAGATCACTGTGATGCAGACCACTGTGATGCGGACACTGTGATGCAGACCACTTTTGATGCAGATCACTGGTGATGCAGACCACTGTGATGCAGATCCACTGTGATGCAGATCACTGTGATGCAGACCACTGTGATGCGGATCACTGTGATGCAGACCACTGTGATGCAGATCACTGTGATCAGACCACTGTGATGCAGATCACTGTGAGCAGACCACTGTGATGCAGATCACTGTGATGCAGCCCCACTGTGATGCGGATCACTGTGATGCAGACCACTGTGATGCAGATCACTGTGATGCAGACACTGTGATGCAGATCACTGTGATGCAGATCACTGTGATGCAGACCACTGTGATGCAAAACCACTGTGATGCAGATCACGGGTGATGCAGATCACTGTGATGCGACCACTGTGATGCAGATCACTGTGATGCAGATCACTGTGATGCAGATCACTGTGATGCAGATCACTGTGATGCAGACCACTGTGATGCAGATCACTGTGATGCAGATCACTGTGATGCAGATCACTGTGATGCAGACCACTGTGATGGGGAAACACTGTGATGCAGATCACTGTGATGCAGATCACTGTGATGCAGACCACTGTGTTTGCAGATCACTGTGATGCAGATCACTGTGATGCAGACCACTGTGATGCGGACACTGTGATGCGGATCACTGTGAGCAGATCACTGTGATGCAGACCACTGTGTTTGCAGATCACTGTGATGCAGATCACTGTGATGCAGACCACTGTGATGCAGATCACTGTGATGCAGATCACTGTGATGCAGATCACTGTGATGCAGACCACTGGATGCGGATCACTGTGATGCAGTCCTGTGATGCAGATCACTGTGATGCAGATCACTGTGATGCAGACCACTGTGATGCAGATCACTGTGATGCAGATCACTGTGATGCAGATCACTGTGATGCAGACCACTGTGATGCGGATCACTGTGATGCAGATCCACTGTGATGCAGATCACTGTGATGCAGACCACTGTGATGCAGATCACTGTGATGCAGATCACTGTGATGCAGATCACTGTGATGCAGATCACTGTGATGCAGATCACTGTGATGCAGACCACTGTGATGCGGATCACTGTGATGCAGACCACTGTGATGCAGATCACTGTGATGCAGACCACTGTGATGCAGATCACTGTGATGCAGATCACTGTGATGCAGCCCAAACTGTGATGCGGATCACTGTGATGCCAGACCACTGTGATGCAGATCACTGTAAATGCAGCCCACTGTGATGCAGATCACTGTGATGCAGACCACTGTGATGCAGATCACTGATGCAGACCACTGTGATGCGGATCACTGTGATGCAGACCACTGTGATGCAGATCACTGTGATGCAGACCACTGTGATGCAGATCACTGTGATGCAGACCACTGTGATGCAGATCACTGTGATGCAGACCACTGTGATGCAGATCACTGTGAGGGCAGACCACTGTGATGCAGACCACTGTGATGCGACACTGTGATGCAGACCACTGTGATAGAAGACCACTGTATGCAGCCCACTGTGATGCAGATCACTGTGATGCAGACCAAGGGTAAATGAAGACCACTGTGAATGCAGATCACTGTGATGCAGACCACTGTGATGAAAGATCACTGTGATGCAGACCACTGTGATGCAGATCACTGTGATGCAGACCACTGTGATGCAGATCACTGTGATGCAGACCAATGTGATGCAGACCACTGTAATGCAGATCACTCTGATGCAGACTACTGTGATGCAGATCACTGTGATGCAGACCACTGTGATGCAGATCACTGTGATGCAGACCAGTGTGATGTAGACCACTGTGATGCAGACCACTGTAATGCAGATCACTGTGATGCAGATCACTGTGATGCAGACTACTGTGATGCAGACCAATGTGATGCAGACCACTCTAATGCAGATCACTGTGATGCAGATCACTGTGATGCAGATCACTGTGATGCAGATCACTGTGATGCAGATCACTGTGATGCAGACAACTGTAATGCAGACCACTGTAATGCAGATCACTGTGATGCAGATCACTGTGATGCAGACCACTGTGATGCAGACCACTGTGATGCAGACCACTGTGATGCAGACCACTGTGATGCAGACCACTGTGATGCAGCCCACTGTGATGCAGACCACTGTGATGCAGACCACTGTGATGCAGACCACGTGATGCAGACCACTGTGATGCAGACCACTGGGGATGCAGACCACTGTGATGCAGACCACTGTGATGCAGACCACTGTGATGCAGACCACTGTGATGCAGACCACTGTGATGCAGACCACTGTGATGCAGCCCACTGTGATGCAGACCACTGTGATGCAGACCACTGTGATGCAGACCACTGTGATGCAGACCACTGTGATGCAGACCACTGTGATGCAGACCACTGTGATGCAGACCACTGTGATGCAGCCCACTGTGTTCCTGATATTTCTCAGTATTACTGAGGTATCATAATAAGGTTCCCTGGGTGTGTTACTGCTGATATAATGCGACTCGGATAATAATTTAACATTAATATACTGAGCTTCGGTCGCGTTTTGTTTTCCTGTTTAGTGAAAGAATTTTAAGTTGTGGATGTTATTACTGATGGAATCTTACAGAAAAGAGGCGAGATGTTCCGAAATGAATTTTTAATTATTAATTATTTTACAGGGAGTAAAAAATTCAGTGTTGGAAACTGTATATGGATGTGGGAAGCAGAGAAGACTTGAGTACACGCAAGATGATGTTACCAAATTATCTGTGACGAATAGCAGGGAATATAACATTATGGTGTGTGTTACAACCCCACCACAAGTTACAACCTCGCCACAAGTTACAACCTCACCACAAGTTACAACCTCACCACAAGGTCAGTATAACGTGATGTAACAATTACAACCTCACCATAAGTTACATCTCCACCACAAGTTACAACCCCACCACAAGGTCAGTATAACGTGACGTAACAATTACAACCCCACCTCAAGTTACAACCCTTCCACAAGGTCAGTATAACGTGGCGTAACAATTACAACCTCACCATAAGTTACAACCCCACCACAAGTTACAACCCCACCACAAGGTCAGTATAACGTGACGTAACAATTACAACCCCACCACAAGTTACAACCCCCACACCGGGTTTCAACCCACCACAAGTTACAACCCCACCACAAGTTACAACCCCACCACTAGTTACAACCCCACCACAAGTTACAACCCCACCACAAGGTCAGTATAACGTGACGTAACAATTACAACCCCACCACAAGTTACAACCCCACCACAAGTTACAACCCCACCACAAGTTACAGCCCCACCACAAGGTCAGTATAACGTGACGTAACAATTACAACCTCACCACAAGTTACAACCCCACCACAAGTTACAACCCCACCACAAGTTGCAACCCCACCACAAGTTAAAACCCCATCTCAAGTTACAACCCCACCACAAGGTCAGTATAACGTTACGTAACAGTTACAACTCCACAAAAAGTTACAACCCCGTCACAAGTTACAACCCCACCACAAGTTACAACCCCACCACAAGTTACAACCCGACCACTAGTTACAACCCCACCACAAGTTACAACCCCACCACAAGTTACAACCCCACCACAAGTTACAAACCCCTCCACAAGTTACAACCCACCCCCTATTTACAACCCCCCACAAGTTACAAAAACCCCCCCACAAGGTTAGTATAACGTGACGTAACAGTTACAACCCCACCACAAGTTACAATCCCACCACAAGTTACAACCCCTCCACAAGTTACAACCCCACCACAAGTTACAACCCAACCACTAGTTACAACCCCCCCACAAGTTTCAACCCCACCACAAGGTCAGTATAACGTGACGTAACAGTTACAACCCCAGCACAAGGTCAGTATAACGTGACGTAACAGTTACAACCTCTCCACAAGTTACAACCCCACCGCAAGTTACAACCCAACCACTAGTTACAATCCCCCTACAAGTTACAACCCACCACAATGTCAGTATAACGTGACGTAACAGTTACAACCCCACCACAAGTTTTCTACCCCAAACCCCAAGTTACAACCCCTCCACAAGTTACAACCCCACCACAAGTTACAACCCAACCACTAGTTACAACCCCCCCACAAGTTACAACCCCACCACAAGGTCAGTATAACGTGACGTAACAGTTACAACCCCACCACAAGTTACAATCCCACCACAAGTTACAACCCCTCCACAAGTTACAACCCCACCACTAGTTACAACCCCCCCACAAGTTACAACCCCACCACAAGGTCAGTATAACGTGACGTAACAGTTACAACCCCACCACAAGTTACAACCCCACCACAAGTTACAACCCCACCACAAGTTACAACCCCACCACAAGGTCAGTATAACGTAACGTAACAGTTGCTACACCACCAGAAGGTAAGTTGAACGTAACGTAACAGTTACTACACCACCCACATGGGTTTACCACTTCAGAAAATAATAATAATAATAATAATAATAATAATAATAATAATAATAATAATAATAATAATAATAATAATAATAGTAATAATAATATTTTTTGCCTTGTATGTGGTACGTGTTGACAACTCTGATGAAGGTTTTTCTCACTTAATCCTTAAGGACTAAACCAGTTTTAAAACAATAATAAAACCTGATTCTGAGAACGCTATTCATTTGTTTTATAATTATAAAACTTACGAAGCATATTGTTATGTTTCATTTACATTCACTCATGTAAATTCGAATCATTTTGTGTATCAAAAATATTCACTTAAGTGAATATACACTGTTTATTTTTTAACGTTAAATGATCGGCAATTAACATGGAGTAAAGGAATTTTAATTAGGTGTTTACATTGGTGAACGTAAATATAATATGATTGAAGGTATTACAGAAGGCTGTAAGTGCAGTGTGACTTTATCCACAGAAACAGAAATGACGTCTAAAGTTACGACTCCAGACTCTGGAGGGAGTGTTGCAGAGTCGTGCAGTATGTGGACGCAGAAGCAGCAGCAAGTGGTGGTAGGGACGCTGGGAGTGTTACTGCTGCTGGCTCTGCTCACCTGCGTCTTTCTCTTGACTCGTCTCTTTTGCAACCGACACAACACAGGTGACGTCGAACACAAATCATCCGAGCTGTAACAGTTCCCAAGTAACCCACAAATGTGTTACAAACCTTGAAGACGTTACGGTCGTCATCGACCGAAACACTAAATTCATTATCCAGATTGAGTTATTAGAAGTAAACCAGAGGATCTGTTGTGTTTATGTCGACTAATTCTCACTTACTAACCATAATTAGTTTTTTGGTTCAGTACATTTCAACACGTAACGTAGATGGCATAGATTAAGTTAAGTTAGGTTAGGTTAGGTTAGGTTAGGTTAAGTTAGGTTAGGTTAGGTTAGGTTAGGTTAGGTTAGGTTAGGTTATGGTTAGGTATAGTTAGGTTTAGTTGTTAGGTTATGGGTTAGGTTAGGTTAGGTTAGGTTAGGTTAGGTTAGTTGTTAGGTTAGGTTAGGTTAGGTTAGGTTAAGTTAGGTTAGGTTAGGTTAGGTTAAGTTAGGTTTTAGGTAGTTAGGGTTAGGTTAGGTTAGGTTAGGTTAGTTAGGTTAGGTTAGGTTAGGTTAGGTTAAGTTAAGGTTAATTTAAAGGGTTAGTTAAGTTAGGTTAGGTTAGGTTAGGTTAGGTTATTAGGTTAGGTATAGGTTAGGTTATGTTAGGTTAGGTTAGGTTAGGTTAGGTTAGGTTATGTTAGGTTAAGTTAGGTTAGGTTAGGTTAGGTTAGGTAAGATTTGTCAGGAAAGAGGACAAATGTTTCCTGACACGGGTCTTACTCATATGATGACCTACATCTGCTGGAGCTTTTGGTCATCTGACCGAGGCCTTCCACTGGCTTACTCCTCCACCCCTTTCAAAATTATTGTTATGATTATAGCCATCAGATCATGTATTTGTCCAAATCCCAGAGTTTACTTCCGTCGTCACAGTCTACAGTAAACAGCCTCACTTAGTGCACAGACATGATGATTTGTGGTGCATTTTGTGCCCCTTGTTTAAAATAAGTAGTAAATGTTTATTCAGTCTCCCCTGCCCACTATTGTCTCTGTTTCACCCACTATTGTCTGTTTCACCCACTATTGTCTGTTTCACCCACTATTGTCTCTGTTTCACCCACTATTGTCTCTGTTTCACCCACTATTGTCTCTGTTTCACCCACTATTGTCTCTGTTTCACCCACTATTGTCTCTGTTTCACCCACTATTGTCTCTGTTTCACCCACTATTGTATCTGTTTCACCACTATTGTCTCTGTTTCACCCACTATTGTCTCTGTTTCACCCACTATTCTCTGTTTCACTCACCATTGTTTGTTTCACCCACCATTGTCTGTTTCACCCACTATTGTCTCTGTTTCACCCACTATTCTCTGTTTCACCCACCAATGTCTGTTTCACCCACTATTGTCTCTGTTTCACCCACCATTGTCTGTTTCACCCACTATTGTCTCTGTTTCACCCACTATTCTCTGTTTCACCCACTATTGTCTGTTTCACCCACTATTGTCTCTGTTTCACCCACTATTGCCTGTTTCACCCACTATTGTCTATTTTACCCACTGTTGTACGTTTCACCTCTGCTTCACCCACTATTGTCACTGTTTCACACGTTATTGTCTGTTTCATCCACTATTGTCTGTTTCACTCACTATTGTTTGTTTCACCCACTATTATCTCTGTTTCACCAACTATTTTCTATTTCACCCACGATTGAATGTTTCACCTATGTTTCTCCCACTATTGTCACTGTTTCACCCACTGTCGTCTCTGTTTCACCCAGTATTGTCCGTTTCACCCACTACTGTCTCTTTCTTACCCACTATTGTCTCTATTTCACCCACTACTGTCTCTGTTTCACCCACTATTGTCTCCCCCTCACCCAGTTCTGTCCCTCCCTCACCCACTCCATTCCCTCCCTATTTATCCCTAATCTACATCATTTCCTCCTAGGGCAAGGAATGGAGGCAATAGAGAGAAGCAGCAGCAGGAAGTACTTGGCAGTGTCACTGCCTCTTAGTGACACTGCCTCTAAGACTGGTGGCACTCGCCCCTACTCCTCACACGACAGTGAAAACAGTCTCTACGGTGCCACCATCACCAAGCACTAATACTGATGGTGAGTGACTGTTAGTGATAGTTGTTAGTGTGATGGTTGTTAGTAGTGGTTGTCAGTGTGATGGTTGTTATACACTAACCAAAACACGAACATTTAACCTGATAAGTGTCTTCGTTTCAGACTGGCGAGATCATCTGCCCAAGAATGTGATTGACATGACCACCCGCTGAGGATTAGAGAAATTAGTTTTTCAATCTCACATCAGAAGAGAAACCTATCCACACCACGCAACACTCTCCCACCCATGGCAGACATCCATGGTAGATATCCATGGCAGTCATCCATGGTAGATATCCATGGTAGATATCCATGCAGTCATCCATGGTAGATATCCATGGTAGATATCCATGGCAGACATCCATGGCAGACATCCATGGTAGATATCCATGGCAGTCATCCATGGCAGATATCCATGGTAGATATCCATGTAGACATCCATGGTAGTACAGTAATACCATGGCAGACATCCATGGTAGACATCCATGGTAGATATCCATGGCAGACATCCATGATAGACATCCATGGTAGATATCCATGGTAGATACCCATGGTAAACATTCACGGTAAACATAAAAGAAGGGTTTACCATATAAAACAAAAAAGTAATACCCTTAAGATACGCAAGACTTTAAGCACATGCAGAACTCAATATTGCGATTTTAAATAAAAAAAACAATGTGATTGAATTCATTTTGAGCGGCCAAGCGGCTAGTTTACTGTGCACCTGACATCCTGTGCACAAGCGCAAGGGTATATACGTGCACAAAAACCCTAGAAACAGTCCTTAGACATACCCATAGAAACGTTACGTCAGTCCATTTTCCCCCAAAGTATAGACAGCAAGTTTATTTTGGGGAAAGAAAGTGTCCGCAAGGCGGGCTACTTTGGTTTTTATTTAGGTTATTCTCATTACTTTTCAGAAAGATTCGGGGGTTTGTTTAAAGTTTTGGGGAAAATATACCACCTGCCAGGGTACCTGGCCACCACCTGTCGTGGTCAGGGGTGGTGGTCAACCCCAGGGCTACCATTGGGAGGCGCAAGTTCAGTCGGGAGGACAACCCGGGGAATACACATCACAGTCACACACAGTCCAAATAATCACAACCCACGTCAACCACACCACAGTCTCACCACAGCACCACACAGTCCACATAAGAGTCACACACACACACAATCACACACACAGTCACACAGCCATGGGCCCTCACATCACATACAGTCCAAAAAGTCACACTAAAGTTTACACAGTCAAAAACATAACAAACACACCCCACAAAAAACACACACAAGTCACCCACAACCCCAAATCCAAAAACATCACACACAAGTTACCACACAGTCACACAGCCCACAAACAGTCACACACACAGTCACTCACACAGTCACACAGTCCAAACATCACACACACAGCACTACACAGTACACAGTCAAAACATCACACACACATCACTCCACAGTCACACAGTTTACAAACATCACAACAAGTCACTCACACAGCCCACACGTCAAAAACATCATACACACAGTCACTCACACAGTCACACACACAAACATCACACACACATTCACTCACACAGTCACACAGTCACAAACATCCAAAAACACCCATCAAAACACCAAGTCACAAACATACACACACAGCCCCACTCACACAGTCCAAGTCACAAACAGCACACACACGCACTCACAACAATCACACAGTCACAAACAGTCATACACACAGTCATCACACAGTCACACAGTCACAAACAGCAAAAACACACAGTCACTCACACGTCCACAGCCCACAAACAGTCACCCAGTCACTCACACATCACATAGTCACAAAAGTCACACACCAGTCACTCACACACACTCACACATCACACAGTCACAAACACCCACACACCATCACTCACACAGTCACATAGTCCAAACAGCACACACACATCACTCACACAATCACACAGTCAAAAAACAGTCATACCCCCAAGTCACTCACACAGTCACACAGTCACAAACATCACACACACATCACTCACACAGTCCACAGCACAAACAGTCACACACAGTCACTCACACATCACAATCACAAACGTCCACACACAGTCACTCACACAGTCACTCACACAGTCACACAGTCACAAACAGTCACACACACAGTCACTCACACAGTCACACAGTCACAAACAGTCACACACATCACTCAAAACATACATAGTCACAAACACACACACACTTTCACTACACAGTCCTCACCGTCAAAACAGTCACAAACATCACACCACAGTCACTCACACAGCCCACATAGTCAAAAACAGTCACACACACAGTCACTCACAAGTCCATAGTCCAAACGCCACCCAAACACACCACACAGTCACACGTCACATACAGTCAACCACAGCCCACCACACAGTCACAAGTCAAAAACATCACACAACAGTCACTCCACTCACACAGTCACAAACATCACCCCACAGTCACTCACACAGTCACATAGTCCAAACATCACACACACGTCACTCCAAGTCACTCACAACAGCACACAGTCCAAACAGTCCCCCAAAACAGCACTCACACAGTCACATAGTCACAAACAGTCACACACACAGTCACTCACACAGTCACATAGTCACAAACAGTCACACACACAGTCACTCACACAGTTACACAAATATCACATTATCAAAGTCACACACACAGTCACTCACACAGTCACATAGTCACAAACAGTCACACACACAGTCACTCACACAGTCACACAGTCACAAACAGTCACACACACAGTCACTCACACAGTCACATAGTCACAAACAGTCACACACACAGTCACTCACACAGTCACACAGTCACAAGTATACACACTTGTCCAAGTACAAGGCTCTTACAAGTAATTATTTCCAGTCATAATTAGCACCATTCAAGTCAACAAATACCTCAACAGTAGTCAAAGCATACCAAATTCCCAGTCACTCAAAAGCAACACACATATCCACAAGTTATCAAAGCACAAAATATCCACAGTCCCGTCAAAGCAACAGACATATCCCACGAGTTATAAAATTGCAAGTCAGGTCAAATAATTATTCCATATGCTCTTCAAAGCAACAAAATATCCCAAGTTATCAAAGCAACAAAATATCCCAAGTTATCAAAGCAACAAAATATCCCAAGTTATCAAAGCAACAAAATATCCCAAGTTATCAAAGCAACAAAATATCCCAAGTTATCAAAGCAACAAAATATCCCAAGTTATCAAAGCAACAAAATATCCCAGTTATCAAGCAACAAAATATCCCAAGTATCAAAGCAAACAAAATATCCCAGTTATCAAGCAACAAAATATTCCCAGTTATCAAAGCAACAAAATATCCCAAGTTTTCAAAGCAACAAATATCCCAGTTATCAAAGCAACAAAGTCCAAGTTATCATAAGGAAAAAATGTCCCATCATAGTGTATCATGAAGAAACAAATTCCACTGTAAATCTGCATAAATTCTCAAGTTAGATCAAGGGTCAAAGAGACTCCAGTGTAATAGCACTTTCAATGTTATTCAAGCACTTCTCCAGGTTATTAGCACAATTCAAGTATAGATAAGTCTCTTTCAAGTGAAGATTCAGCATCAAGTGTAATTAGGCACTGTACAAAATGGAATTAGGCACTGTCCAAAATGGTAGTAGACACTTCAGTGGTTAATAGCACTTCAATGTGTTAATGGGCACTTCCAAGTGGTTAGTTAGGCACTTTCAAGTGGTTAATGAGGCACTTTCAAGTGGTTAATGAGGCACTTCCAAGTGGTTAGTTAGGCACTTTCAAGTGGTTATTTAGGCACTTCCAAGTAGTTAATTAAACACTTCCAAGTGATTAATTAGGCACTTCCAAATTATTATTTAGGCACTTCCAAGTGGTTAATTAAGCATTTTCAAATGCTTAATTAGGCACCATAAAGTGGTTAATTAGGCATCTCCAAGAGGCATTAGTTCGCTGTCTCTTGACTATGTCCTCTTAATAATTATATTACTTTGTCAAGCTTATTAATTATAAATTGAAGTTTTTAGATTATATAATTCTTTATTATTATATTTATTATATATATATATATATATTATATATATATATATTTATATATATGATTTATTTATTATATATATATATATAATATATATATTATATATATATATATTTATATATATATATATATATTTATATATATATATATATAATATATATATATATGTTCGTGCCGAATATGTAAAACTGGTCAATTAGCAAGAACTCATTTAAAATTAAGTCCTTTCTAAAATTTTCTCTTATACGTTTAAAGATATATATTTTTCATTAATGTTAATGTAAAAGTTTATAATTTTGCACCAAAAGGAACTTAGAAAACTTACCTAACCTTATTATAACAAGCGCAATTTATTTAGCCTAACCCAACTAAATATATTTTAGATTGGTTTACAATAATTTTAATACTAAACAAACACAGTGAAATATATATTTTTTTCGTTAGGTTCAGAATGATTTTGGCGAAATTATTGCATACACAAATTTTCACTTGTCCTATATGGCATGATGAGCGTTGCTATTTAAGCCAAGATCGCAAGTTCTGCCTATTCGGCACGACATATATATATATTATAGTATATATATATTATATATATATTATATATATATAATTATATATATATATATTATTATATTTATTATATGGATATATATATATATATATATTTTTTATATATATATATGAATTTTTAGATAGATATATATTTAATTTCATTATATTCTATTATATATATGTGTGTGTGTAGATAGCTTGTTCTGAAGTTTTGTTCAAATGTTTTCAGTTACAGTTTGTTCAACATTAATATGTTATTGTAAATTCCTTTTTATGTGTTCAGTTTCTCGTTGTTGTGTTTCAAATTCCTGTTTTTGTCAAATTTCATTATTTATCTTTTCAAATTTCTGTCATGTTTGTTCAAATTTGTGTGTTATGTGTTCAGATATCCTTGTCAATGTGTTATAATTGGGTGTTATGTGTTCATATAACGGAAGCTGAGAATTTAAGAGGGTGTTACTTATACAGAGAGGATTGGGTGGTAGATAGCACTTAGGGTGCACACGTTGTCTGAATGATGTTTTGGGGTTCATGTCATCAGGATAAGGTGGTTGGTGGGTGGGGTATTAGGTGTAGGGGGTATCACATACAGGCGTGGGTGTGCGGTATATAATATAGCTCTATAACGACTAATAGATAACGATACTATATATATATATAGTACAATGGATATCAATAAATATATATATCAATATAATAATCATATAATATCTACTACTAATATACATATATATAATCAATAATATATCACAATATAATAAAATACTACTCTAATACTATGGATATATCT